TCACACCATTGCCAGTGCTAGTACTGGTCAAAAGTCATATGATGCCTCACACCATTGCCAGTGTTAGTACTGGTCAAAAGTCATATGATGCCTCACACCATTGCCAGTGTTAGTAATGGTCAAAAGTCATATGAGGCCTCATACCATTGCCAATGCTAGTACTGGTCAAAAGTCATATGAGGCCTCACACCATTGCCAGTGCTAGTACTGGTCAAAAGTCATATGAGGCCTCACACCATTGCCAGTGCTAGTACTGGTCAAAAGTCATATGATGCCTCACACCATTGCCAGTGTTAGTAATGGTCAAAAGTCATATGAGGCCTCATACCATTGCCAATGCTAGTACTGGTCAAAAGTCATATGAGGCCTCACACCATTGCCAGTGCTAGTACTGGTCAAAAGTCATGAGGCCTCACACCATTGCCAGTGCTAGTACTGGTCAAAAGTCATATGAGGCCTCACACCATTGCCAGTGCTAGTACTAGTCAAAAGTCATATGATGCCTCACACCATTGCCAATGTTAGTACTGGTCAAAAGTCATATGAGGCCTCACACCATTGCCAGTGCTAGTACTGGTCAAAAGTCATATGAGGCCTCACACCATTGCCAGTGCTAGTACTAGTCAAAAGTCATATGATGCCTCACACCATTGCCAGTGTTAGTACTGGTCAAAAGTCATATGAGGCCTCACACCATTGCCAGTGTTAGTAATAGTCAAAAGTCATATGAGGCCTCATACCATTGCCAATGCTAGTACTGGTCAAAAGTCATATGAGGCCTCACACCATTGCCAGTGCTAGTACTGGTCAAAAGTCATATGATGCCTCACACCATTGCCAGTGCTAGTACTGGTCAAAAGTCATGAGGCCTCACACCATTGCCAGTGCTAGTACTGGTCAAAAGTCATATGAGGCCTCACACCATTGCCAGTGCTAGTACTGGTCAAAAGTCATATGAGGCCTCACACCATTGCCAGTGCTAGTACTGGTCAAAAGTCATATGATGCCTCATACCATTGCCAGTGCTAGTACTAGTCAAAAGTCATGAGGCCTCACACCATTGCCAGTGCTAGTACTGGTCAAAAGTCATATGAGGCCTCACACCATTGCCAGTGCTAGTACTGGTCAAAAGTCATGAGGCCTCACACCATTGCCAGTGCTAGTACTGGTCAAAAGTCATATGAGGCCTCACACCATTGCCAGTGCTAGTACTGGTCAAAAGTCAAATGATGCCTCACACCATTGCTAGTGCTAGTACTGGTCAAAAGTCATATGAGGCCTCACACCATTGCCAGTGTTAGTACTGGTCAAAAGTCATATGAGGCCTCACACCATTGCCAGTGCTAGTACTGATCAAAAGCTCCATAGGTATTAAACAAATACTAATTTGATTGATAAACAGGATTCAAGATTTTTTGGAGGGTGGGGTGGGGAAGGGGGAGATTATGTAGTTAGAATTTATAAGGGTTGGTACATTTTACATGAAATGGCAAAATTTCTCAATATTTACTTGGTAAAATGAATGGGTATATATGAGAGATTTTTTTTCATCATTGAGTCCATCTTTGCTTGTCAACAGTCACTTATTCACTTTTTTCCACATCTTGTGGATAAAAGAGTCCCCACCCATAGCAATAAGAGTCCTCGCCAATAACAGTTAGTCCCCACCCATAGAAATACAAGCCCTCTCCCATAGCAATGAGTATCTATGATCAGAGACCCTGCTAAAACCCTGTCAGATATTAAGTTTTTTGTGAATAATCTCACTGACACTGACTTTAAATGTTTGAATTCAATAAATTTGTATGCAATATTTATACCAGGGCCACTATGATTATTCCTAATAATTACCCAGTTTAAATATAACATGGGATCTGATTGGATTGATATTGAAACAGTAGATACATAGCTACAAATGCTATTGGTTGATGAGGAATTTAGCTGTGTCCAATCAGATATGGCATGATGTGGATAAACAATTATTGGTTAGTAAGAAGCATGCCAAGCTGAAGAAATGTATTTTTTATTTTGTTATTTTTATAGCAGCTTGGAGCTCCCAGGATCAAATGACTAAGAAAGTTTGTTTTTTTGATCTCCATTAACAGTGTGCATTGTCTCTACTCACAATACAAGTATGAAGTGGCAGGTGAGGCAGTACAAAAATGCAATCTGCATTAATAATTAAAACAAACTAAAGAACCAAACTGTTTAGCATGACACTATTCTATTTTTGTTTTGGTAGGAGATAGTGGAAATAATGAAATAATGGGATATACTGTAAAGACAAGTAACTTGTGTGGAGTGGTGGAAATAACATTGTAAGAACAAGTAACTTGTGTGGAGTAGTGGAAATAATGGGATAAAATGTAAGAACAAGTAACTTGTGTGGGTTAGTGGAAAAAATGGGATACACTGTAAGGACAAGTAACTTGTGTGGAGTAGTGGAAATAATGGGATACACTGTAAGGACAAGTAACTTGTGTGGGTTAGTGGAAATAATGGGATACACTGTAAGGACAAGTAACTTGTGTGGAGTAGTGGAAATAATGGGATACACTGTAAGGACAAGTAACTTGTGTGGGTTAGTGGAAATAATGGGATACACTGTAAGGACAAGTAACTTGTGTGGGTTAGTGGAAATAATGGGATACACTGTAAGGACAAGTAACTAGTGTGGGTTAGTGGAAATAATGGGATACACTGTAAGGACAAGTAACTTGTGTGGGATGCACAATAATCTTCAATTAATCAAATTACAGTTTTTAATGTCTGACTGCCTGTCAAGGATTTAGAAGATTATGAAACCATTGCAATTATCTTTATCTGGGATTAAAACTACTTTAGCAATCAAAAAATATATATAAGGATGATAAATTACTTATTTTTAGGAACATTGAGGTTAAAGCAAGAAAGATAAGGTCTGCACAACAAGCTCATGAACAAGGCATAACACTGAAACATGTGACCTTGACCTTAGGTCAAAAGGTTGATGGAGAATGCTGTAGAATGAAATGGCTTTGTTTCATGATGATTTTTCCAAAGTATGAACATCCATCAAGGGGTTCATGCAATACAAGCAAATCAAAATGCCAAAAGAATAAAGTGAACTTTCTTATCTTCAAAACAATTCACACCAAGTAAAATGAGAAAATATCTAAGGCCTTAGGAGATATATCTAAGGCCTTAGGAGATATATGTGATGGAAAAACTTAAACCAAAACCCTGGCAAATTGTTACCGACAATGATGCAAATCAATGACAGTGTCCTTTATTGTAGAATTAAGTCTCAGCTTCATAAATAATGTATATCAACTGTGATGAGAAGCTATCAGTGTTTAAGAAATACAGTAAAACCTGTCTTGAGAGACCACTGTTATCGGAGAAACCAAATTTTGGGTAATAATGGGTGGTCTTTCAAGACAGGTTCCATTGTATATACAAGTTAACAATGATGTCAGATGGTAATGGTTATGTCATTTCAGTGAGGTCATTAGGTAATGATTACAGCATTTCAATGAACATTCATTGTGTTTACTGTGCAGCACAGATCCAATCTGCATTGTGTATACTGTACAATACAGATGCAATCTGCATTCTATGATATGTGTAATGTACAGCACAAATGCAATCTGCATACTGTACAACACTATGTAATCTGCATTGTGTATACTGTACAGCACTATATAATCTACACTATGTATACTGTACAGCACAGATGCAATCTGCATTGTGTAGACTACAGCACAGATGTAATCTGCATTGTGTAGACTATACAGAACAACTATAATTTGCATTTTTGTGCATACTGTACAGCACTGTTGATCTGTATAGTGTGAACTGTACAGTACAGATGTAATCTGTATTGCATAGATGGTACAGCACAGATGTAATCTGCATTGTGTAGACTGTACAGCACTATATAATCTGCATTGTATCTGTCATGTACAGATACAATATGAATAGTATATACTGTCTGCTTATGTGTATTCCTCTGCATGAATATAACCTGTAAGTGCTTGCTGTGTGTATATGTGTACTATACAAATACATGTATATTTTGCTTTAGCTCTGGATTAGTGTATTTCCTCTATTCTGACTTAATACATGTCTCTCAATTACCCAAAGACACTTGTGCATTATAATTAGAAGCATACAACTAACTTAATAATTAAGCAGTTTTAGGCTGCTCTAATTAGCTAGCACAGGAATTTACCAATTAACCATAAACCTTGATTTGCTAGTTCATAGATTTTTTTAAATGCTCAACAGGGGCTCATTTCTTTGATATTTTGTCTGAGGTGATTTTAAAAAAATAGCTGTTGCAGACAGGTGATTGCTGAATGCTGGTGACCTTTAAACCAGGTTTGACTTTATCTAAACTGACATCAGACTTGATGGACTTCAACTCCGATATTATGGAACCAACAATAAGTGGTAGTTTCTGCCTTACAAGAAAAAAGAAAACATAAATTGAAAAGATAACAAAATCGTCACAACTCCGCATAGGCAATAATAATCAGCAGTACAAATATTTATTGATACTCAAAGTTTAAACATGGAACTTCAATTTGTACATTCTGCATGATATCCGTTTCTACAACCCAGTTCATTGTCTCTCAGGTTTTAAAATAGTGGGATATAATATTAAATCAATTACAAACATATGTGCTATAAAACATTTACAGATATAAAAAAATCCAAATTAGTTAGGTGCCTTGATATTGATCAAATGCTGATAAATATTTCATGCAATTTAAAAGACTAAATAAATATTGGCTCTCAATTGATCTATTTACTGTATATCTATGTAGATGATGCCAATTTTCCAGACGCATATTTGCTCAAATTTTATTGTATAGATAAATGAAAACTCTGCACTTGTCTTGGGATTCACAATTATTCTTGACTTAGACTCCAAAAATATAAGGATTGAATTTCATATTCAGCAGCAAGATAAATCACCAGCTTTTTGTACCTACAAGTATATATAATGAATTTACGACACTCTGGTGGCCTAGTGGTTAGAGCATCCAACTCAGATGCGTGAGGTTGTGGGTTCAAAATCCCAGCTGAGTCATACCAAAGATTTATAAACTTATAAAAATGATAATAACATCTGCTTTGCTTGGCACTCAGCGTTAAGAGATTAATTTTATGATTTGTTGGCCGACTGCTATGGTGGCCTAGTGGTTAGAGCATCCACCTCAGATGTAGGAGGTTGAGGGTTTGAACCCCAGCCAAGTCATACCAAAAGACCTTAAAAAGTGGTACTAACAGCTGCCCCACTTGGTGCTCAGCATTAAGAGGTTAGTGTAATGACTGTTCGGCCTGGTGTCAGGATATTGTGACTGGATGGGACATACGGCATGATGCCCTGTGCTAGACTTCACTATAAAAAGTCGAACTGCAGACATCGTAGAAATATGACTGGAAGATTGTTAAAGCTAAATTAAAAATCCAAATCATACAGACACACACAGTGTTCTGTATTTGCTGGCTATCATTAGTATTGCTACATGGGAGAGTAGCCTGACTGTAGTGTGTCTAACCTGTGATCCAATAGTCAAAGTTTCCAAACCTGTCCAAACTTGCCAATTTTGGCTGACTCTGTTTCCTTACAAAAGACCCAAAGCACTTATTTTTCATTGTCTTGATTATAAACCTCAAAATGAGGCAAAATGGCTGTCAAAGAATTTTAAGGCATATATATTCAAATTTTCCAAAATTTGACCTCCTTGATATTGCTTGTATTGATGTCACATAATCTGACATTTCTAGATCAATTACTTGACAGGTCAGAAATTAATTACCTATTACTTAAAAACAGACTACATGGACAGTGTCCTGACCAATTTGGACAAAATGTGAAAATGATCTTTCAGGGGGAGGGGGGTATAAATTACTATTTAGCTGATAGGAAGTCATTCCATTGTACAGTACCACTGAAAACATGATTAAGGAATATATATTTAAAATGTGTGTATGTTTTAATTAGAAAAAAATTCTAACTTGACAAAAATATCCTAGATCTGATCTGTGAAAAAATAAATTAAATTAAATTGAATTAAATTGAATTAAATTAAATTAAATTAAATTAAATTAAATTAAATAAATTTAATTTAATCCATTTTTAGTAGATGAATATATAAATTGTCTTGTGAAAAATTATAACATCCTGGATCAAAGAAAATCCCATGACACACCCCAAAATGTTAAATGGGCAACTCCTTACAATGTCATCTCATTATTTGTAAGTAAATTTATATAACAGTTGATTATGGAAGATTCAATAATGTTTATCGCACTAATTTATATTTGGTTACTGTCCTATAATACAATAACGTTTGCAAAAAAATTTGCATTCACTGTAGTTAAAGATGGATTATATTGTACAATTATCAGACATTTCTTGTCAAGCTCATAAAATGTGGAGTCTACAATGACTTCAGGCAAGAAAATGTTTCTAAAAATAGGATGTTTATGTCAATATTTTTCTCTAACAATGGTAAATTTCAGAAACAAAAAGAAGCAGTATATATCCTTGATAATAGTACATTATTTCTGGAATAAAAAAACACCATGAAACAAATATACCACAAATCTTAGCCACCAATGTTTATAGTAAGTTTTTAGCATATTTCAATATTAAAAGGTCCAAGTAAAAGTCCAAACAAAAGTCAAGAGGGTAATCCCACTTCTAAATAATTTTCGGTGATTATCTGCATTCCTAATGAGATACATGTATCTTGTACAGTGTTTTACCTGCAAATGAGATACTTTTATGGTGTACAGTGATTAGTTGCATTCCAAATGAGATACATGTATGGTGTACAGTAATTACTTGCATTCCTAATGAGATACATGTATGGTGTACAGTGATTACTTGTATTCCTAATGAGATACATGTATGGTGTACAGTGATTACCTGCATTCCTAATGAGATACTTATATGGTGTACAGTGATTACCTGCATTCCAAATGAGATACATGTATGGTGTACAGTAATTACTTGCATTCCTAATGAGAAATATGTATGGTATACAGTGATTACTTGCATTCCTAATGAGATACATGTACAGTGTACAGTGATTACTTGCATTCCTAATGAGATACATGTATGGTGTACAGTGATTACCTGCATTCCTAATGAGATACTTATATGGTGTACAGTGATTACCTGCATTCCAAATGAGATAGTGTATGGTGTACAGTGATTACTTGCATTCCAAATGAGATACATGTACAGTGTACAGTGATTACTTGCATTCCTAATGAGATACATGTACAGTGTACAGTGATTACATGCATTCCTAATGAGATACATGTTTTGTTGACTGGTTAGACATGTTACATCTCATTTGATAGATAATAATTACTGCCTGAGAAAATTAACATATGAAATGTTTAACTTTGCTAGCATCTTGAGAAATCGAGACAAAGTGAAATATAATTAATTTGTGATGACACTCTAACTCTGTCATTTTCATCTAGAAATCACAAGATTTTGTAACAATTCACCAGTATAAGAATATAGTGCTCCTGAAGACAGTACTAACTCAAGTGACTACAATGCTTTTCAGTGACTCAGCTTATAAAACCAAGGATCATCAGTGTTTACCTGTTGCTTTTGTAATGTCAAAACTAATTTGATGTTAAAGTTGATATACCTTTGTTAATGTTTTTGTAATGAATAGTCAACAAAATTTCACATTTATCATTCTATCTCATATCTTTCCTATCCAGAAAAACATATCCCTTCCAAGCATAAAGTTACCAAACTTGACAGTTATACATATGGATACTTGTTTTTCTGACCTGGCTAGGTATTGAATCTGCAACCATTGAAATATGAGACCAATGTTCTGCCAACTGAGTCACTATACCCCCTTCCTATAAAATAAGTAGCTATCAAATACATATCACAAAATATCATGGAATGGTTCCCATCATGCCCAAAACTACATGCTTAATTAACAGTTGCATTTTAATTCAAACAATCTCAATGGATCATACCAAATGCTTTAAAAGAAAACAGTCTATTCCTAATTAAACTCAATGATACTGCCAAATAATGTCCAAGCAATGTGACACTAGGAGTGTTGTGTTGTGTTGTGTTGTGTTGTGTTGTGTTGTGTTGTGTTGTCATACTTATATTATGTAACAATATCTCTCATTGCTCTGATATCTTCAATTTGAAATGAACTGGAGTCATCTTTGACCTCATGCATGCCATCCACAATGTTTTGTAGAGATAAAATACACAGAACTCAAGCTATTTTGAAATGGTTTTTCATTTTCAGTTTGGTGACCTTGCCCTTTGACATATTGACTAAAAATCGGTAAGGTACCTTTCTTTTCTCAAATCCAACCATACATTGAATAGGATTTGACTTTTATATAGAATCCCTTTGATCTTGACCCATCACTCAGGTGTCTTCCTGGTCTCAAATACAAACCATCCACATTATTTTGTGAAAGTAAGTGGTAAAACGATCACTCAGCATGACCTTGACCTTTGAACTTTTGATCACCAAATCAATATGTTTTTTTTTATTATAATGCAAATCATTAAAAAACTTTGGTCCAGGTCTTTTTTATAGAGGTGAAATTATTTTGTGGAAACAATTTTTTTGTTTACTTCCTGACCTTTGACCTCTTGAACCTGAAATCAGCAGGTTTCTTTTTTACCCCAGATGCAGGCTACTTGCGAAGTCTGGTTAGATGGCTCAGAACAGAACATGTGCTGTGAGAGAAAATGTATTAGGAGACAGATGGTATGGACAGAGAGATAAATGGATGGATGGATGGACAGAGATAAATGGATGGATGGACAGACATTAAAACATAACATTCTCTCTCTTATGGTGGGCATATAAAAAAGGCTGATTGTAAACTCAATGAAAATTATTCCATGGGAAATCAATCAATAAACATACAACAATTTATTTTTTCCCTTCTACATGAAAGCCAATTAGTTCCAATGGGAAAACATAAAACTCCTAATCCAAAGGTTGTGGGTTCAATACCTACCCAAGCAAGTCAACAAAAGCTGGCTACCTCAGAGTGTCCATGAGAAATCACTTAGTTCATAATGTAATTTAGCCCAATAATGTGATAATAGTGCCATATAAAAAATAATAAGTAACTTTCACTTTCCCTTACTTATGTAATATTAGATTTACACAGCAGCAGTCATTGTTTAGGGTTCGGAGTAGTTTTTATATTATCAAAGTCAGCATCTGAATATTGATGTGAAATTATCCATGTATACAGGACTTAAGTTAAATGTTTTTCTTTCTTATCAGTTATGAACTGACAGAATTCATGTCAATTAATTTAAATTTTGTTTTTCATTCAAGGTAAATGTCATAACTTCACAATGAATTAGTGAAAAAAAATGTCCTGGTTAGTTGATGCTCATTCCAATTGAAGCCATTAAAGAGTCCAAAAATAACTAGTTAGTTGGTGTCCACTCCAGATGAAACTATTAATGAATGAAAAATTACTGGTCAGTCAGTGCCCATTTCAAATAAAACCATTAATGAATGAAAAAAATACTGGTCAGTTGGTGTCCATTCCAACTGAACTGTTACAGGGTAAAAAAAGGACTGGTCAATCAGTACCCACTCCAAATAAAACTATTTAAGAATGAAAACAAGGACTGGTCAGTCAGTGCCTGCTCCAAAAGAAACCAAAAATTACTGAAAAAAGGACTGACCCACTCCAAATGAAACCAAAATTTAGCCATAAAAGGATTGGTCAATGCACACTCCAAATAAAACCATTAATGAATGAAAAATTTACTGGTCAGTTAGTTCTCACTCCAACTTAAACCATTAAAGAGTGAAAACAATTACTGGTCAGTCATTTGCCCACTCCAAAGGAAACAAGTAATTAGTGAAACAAGTAGTGGTCAATTAGTACCCACTCTAAATGAAACAAATAATTTGTGAACAAATTATTGCTCAATCAGTGCCCACTCCAAATGAAACAATTAGTGAAAAAAGCACTGGTCAGTTATTGTCCATTTGAAACATGTATTTGCATGTATAGTAATAATTAAAACATTTTCTAGTCCTCATGGATCATTAGTCAATATGATAAAATCTTAGTACTGACAAGAGTTACTGTTTATTGACCAATGACCAGTGTCAAGATAGAAATCTGTCTATTCTCCAATTAGCCAGTGCCATAATCAATAAACTGTCTACTGACCAATAACCAGTACCATTATCAATAAACTGT